TGTCAATGTGTGTTGAGTTCCCGCAATAACTTTAACTATAACAAATAGATCGTTACGTTTCAAATGACTTGTAAATAGACTCAGTCAAAGTAGAATGTCAATGGCATCACAAGTTTAAATTTCATGATTTCTTTGTATTCCTTGGTCCTCGGCCTTCGCACACATACTGCTACACTTTATACACAAGACATAGCAATAGTTGGACATGTCTGTTATCTATTTTGCAATTATAGTGTGTATGCTATGGGCATAATTTACATAATTGATTAATTTTGTTTAAAAACATTACAGGTAGAGTGTACAGAGACATAGTTGGAAGCGCTTACTATGTTGCTCCTGAGGTTCTAAGACGCAACTATGGAAAAGAAATCGATATCTGGAGTGCTGGGGTTATCTTATACATTCTTCTCAGCGGGGTACCTCCTTTCTGGGCCGGTAAAAAAATAGACTCCCTTAGCTTGGTTAAAGAGATATTTTTTGTGATTTAAGTTTATTTTTCTTTACAAGTGTTATATTTTGGCTTTGCAGAAACTGAGAAAGGAATATTTGATGCAATACTACAAGGCGATATTGACTTCGATAGTTCACCATGGCCATCTATATCAGATAGTGCCAAAGATTTAAATACTACAAGGCGATATTGACTTCGATAGTTCACCATGGCCATCTATATCAGATAGTGCCAAAGATTTAATCAGGAAGATGCTGACCCAGGATCTATAGTTCACCATGGCCATCTATATCAGATAGTGCCAAAGATTTAATCAGGAAGATGCTGACCCAGGATCCGAAGAAAAGAATTACTGCAGCCCAAGTCCTTGGTAAGTCTTTCTTAAGGATTTAATTGTACATAGGCCCCATGTAGTATCATTGTTACTTACTACCCGTATAGTTTCATTGTTGCAGATAGACTCCCAGGTTATGTTGGATAGCAGATTATTGGGTCAAACAGACTAGGAAGTCTGTTTTGATTTTGGTTTTAGAATTGTTGGATTCCTAGTCTGTTTTGGTTTTAGGGTTTCTATATATATAGAACGTTTTAGAAGAGATTTGTAGAGAGAGAGAAAAGAGAGTATTTAGAGCACTTTAAAAGGAAGATTATTGTGAGAGAGTGAGAGATTTTTGGTTAGAGTTATTTTGAGTGTTTGAGAGAGTTGTAACCCATTGTATTTCTCCTCCGTATATTGAAATCTCTCCATCCTCTCCCCGTAGATGTAGACAACTTGCCGAACCACGTAAATCTATGTGTTTGTGATTGGTTTGTGCCGTTCTTTTGTAAATTGCACTCATTAGTTCTCCTCTCATTGCTCGCCGACTTGTTTGGTTCGCGAGCACGCTTCCGCCAACGTGCAACAATTGGTATCAGAGCTCTAGGGTTTCAGACCTAGGGTTTATTTTGGATGGAAGAAAATTCGTTGTTGGAAGCTTGGATCTTGGAGATCTATGCTTCGATGAAGATAGCATTGCGGAGTTGCCAGCTGGAGATATCGTCTTCCTCGTGTGGTTGGGAGTTCGTGTTGGAATCCAATCTAGGGTTCAAGTTGGGTAATTTTTATTCTATCAGTTATTTTAATTTTCTCTACAATTTAGAGTTAGCAAACAATGTCAGGAGATAGTGGTGAAAGCAGCAAGGCTACGGCAAGTACAGTTCATGTTGCACTTCAAAATACGAAGATCAATGTTGTGAAGTATGACAGTAAGATCAACTTTGGATTGTGGATGAGTGATGTGCAGGATGCTTTGAATGCTCAGAACTTAGATGAGACCATCATGGTCCATGAGAGGTCACAGAAGTATGATGAGGCGATATGGGACAAGATGAATCGAAACGCTTGTGAGGTAATAAGATATTGTTTGGAACAAGAGTTGAAGTACGATATGTTCGGTGTGACATCTACGATGAAGATATGGGAGATTCTGAACAACAAATATCTTACGAAGAGTGTTGAGAACCGGTTGCACTTGCTGCAAAGATTGTTCAGATTTCAGATGTCCAGGGGTACCTCACTTACGGATCACGTGAATAACCACATAAAGTTATTGTCGGACTTGACGAATATAGATGAGAAGATATCAGATGAGTACAAGACGATTATTTTATTAGGCTTCTTACCCTGAGGAGTATGATACCTTTGTGCTCACTTTGTTGAACGGTAGATCTTTCATCACCTATAGTGAAGTGACTAATGCATTGATGAATTTCGACTTGAGGAGAAAGGATAAAGAGTCTTCTTGAGCTAGCACTTTAGAAGAGACATTGTCGATGAGAGGAAGGAGTCCCTATCCGAGAGGTGGCAACAGAGACATGTTAAAGTTAAGAGGCCACTACTAATTAGTGAAGAACCAGTATACTTTCTGCAAAGAATAAGGACATTGGAAGAGAAATTGCCCGAAGCTCAGAGAGAAAGAGAAAAGCAAGAAGAAGGACCCGAAGGCTAGCGAGGTGAATCCTACGAAGAGTGGTAACGATTCAGATGGTTCATATTTTTCTCTATTGATTACTCTAGAGGTTAACCATGCTGATGCATCGGATTAGATGCTGGATTATGGTGCTATTTACCATGTGACTCCCAAGCGAGATTGGTTTGTATCTTTTGAGAAACTCGATGGGGGTGTAGTGGTAATGGGAAACGATCAGTCCTGTGGTATTTGTGGGTTAGGTACCGTCAAGATTCGGATGCACGATGGAGTTGTTCGTGAATTGAATGAAGTGAGATTTATTCCTCAACTGAAGGGTAATCTTATTTCTGTTGGAGCTTTGAAGGCAAAAGGATTCAATGTGACTTTTGAGGGCACTGTAACAAAAGTTACTTAGGGATCTTTGGTAGTGATGAAGGGAGTCCGTAGTAGGAACTTTTATTATCTGAAGGGAAGCACCTTGGTCAGGTAGCTTCAGCTGTTTTAGAGATGGACGCGAGCAGACTTTGGTACTACAGATTGGGACACACAGGTAAAAAGTCACTGCATGCACTGTGCAAGTATGGGCTATTGAAGAGAGTTAAAAATAAAAAGATTGAATTCTATGAGCACTGTGTTCTTGGCAAGAAGACTAAAGTGAAGTTCGGAACAACCATTCATAGGACAACATGCATCTTGGATTATGTGCACACGGATGTTTGGGGTCCCACCAAGACGACATCACTTGGTGGTCGACATTGGTTCGTCACGTTTGTAGATAACTATTCTAGGCGTTATTGGGTGTACATCATGTCGAAAAAAAGTAAAGTCTTAGAGATATTTATGGAGTGGAAGAGAAGATTGGAACTGTAGACATGAAGAAAAATCAAGATGTTGAGATCCGACAACGGCAGCAAGTACACATCAGACCCTTTTTAGCAGTTATGTCGAGACGAAGGCATAGAGAGACATTTCATAGTTAGTCATACACCACAGCAGAATGAGGTGACAGAGGTTGAATCGGTCTTTATCGGAAAAGGTTTGATGTTTGTTATCGCATAGTGGTTTGGAAAAAATCTTTTGGGTTGATGCACTTTTATATGTGAGCCACCTCATTAATAGGCTGCATTCATCTACGGTTGAGGGGAAAACCCTTATGGAGATGTGGTCGGCAGAGCCAGCAGACGACTATGATCAGCTTAAGGTATTTGGGTGCCCTGTATTTTATCATGTCAGAACTAATAAATTAAAACTTCGAGCTAGGAATGTCATATTTGTGAGACTCAAACGTAGTGTGAAAGGATACAATCTTTGGGATCCAGTTAAGAAAATGAGTAAAGACGTCACATTCGATGAGGCTTCGCTCTTGAAGTCTACCAGCTCTCATCAGATGGAGAGCACCCCGACAGATGAGATATCGTAGGTGGTAGAGATTGATGCAACTCTACAGAGTCCAGATGGGATCGTATCCATTAGACTACCGACTGAGGTGACGTCAGGCGAGCACGGTGATGATTTGGGGGATACATGTATGACAGAGCAGGATTAGGGATCGACGGCTCAAGTTCAGAATTCAATTGCAGTTCGGAGACCCAGGAGAGATATACGATTACCAGCGAGATATACAGATACAGTGGTTGTGTATGCACTTCCGGTAGAGAGTGTCGATGAGAGGGTTCTTACTACATTTAGAGAGACTGAGCAGAGTTCAGAGGCTGATTTGTGGCAGGAGGCTATACGAGAGGAGATAGATTCTCTTCAGAAGAACGACATATGGGAGCTTGTCAAGCTTCTAAAGGAGCAAAAGACAATTGGTTGCAAATGAGTGTATACTAAGAAGGAGGGCATTCAGGGAACTCCAGTGAGGTTTAAAGCTAGATTAGTAGTGAATGATTATGCACAGGAAGAAGGCATTGATTACAATGAATTCTTTTCTCCAATGGTGAAGTACTATTCGATTCGGATCTTGCTAGCTTTGGTGACACAGTATGGATTGTAATTGGATCAGTTGGATGTGAAAATAATTTTTCTTCATGATGATTTTGATGAAAAAAATTATATAACTCAGCCATTGGGGTTTCGAGCTGCAGGAAAGAAGAAATTAGTGCGTAGAAGCTTGTGGCAAATTCGTGTTTGTTGAGGCCCGTTGAGGTAATTTGGATGAATTAGGCGGCTTGATTCGTTGGGAGAGGGGACACGTAAGCAACTACATTGATGCAGCTGGATTTGAAGAGACGATACATTGATGCTCTTGTTGGTGTCGGCTCAGTTTTGGGAACACTTTGCCGAGATGGAGAATTGTTAGATAGCAGGTTATTGGGTCAAACATGATTCCTAATCTGTTTTGATTTTGGTTTTAGAATTGTTGGATTCCTAGTCTGTTTTGATTTTAGGGTTATATATAGAACATTTTAGAAGAGATTTGTAAAGAGAGAAAAGAAAGTCTTTTGAGCACTTTGAGAGGGAGATTATTGTGAGGGAGTGAGAGAATGTTGGTTAGGATTATTTTAAGTATTTGAGAGAGTTGTAACTCATTGTATTTTTCTTCCATATAGTGAAATCTCCACATGACGTAGACAACTTGCTGAACCACGTAAATCTCTGTGTTTGTGATTGGTTTGTGTCGTTCTTTTGTGAATTGCACTCGTTAGTTGTTCTCCTCTCGTTGCTCGCCAACTCGTTTGGTGCGCGAGCACGCTTCCAACGCGCAACAGGTTAATCAACTTTTTTTTTACATTCAGATAGACTCATTAATTTTACCCATGGGCAATGTATAAAAAAATTTCATCCAAGGGAAAATAGTAAAATCAAAACTCAGGGTGTCTATCTCCAACAATGAAAATACAGGGGTAGTAAGTTCAAGACTATGATAGTATAGGGGGTCTGCAATTAACCCTTTTTTTACATAAGACATATGTTTCAAAAGGTAACTAATGTTTTTCCTAGATATTATTTGATGATATGATCATATGATCCTTTTGTAGAACATCCATGGATTAAAGAAGGTGGTGCCTCTGATAAACCAATTGACAGTGCCGTCCTCTCCAGGATGAAGCAATTCAGAGCAATGAACAAGCTAAAGAAAATGGCTCTAAAGGTCAGTTGTCAGGATATCTTTTTTGGTTAAATTTCGCAAAACCGCCCAAACTTTATGGTTTTCTATCCAGAACCCCCTAAACTTTACAAATCAGAGGACCCCTTGAACTTTCAAAATCATATCAAAACCTCCACGAACTACTGAAAATTTTCATAACTGGGGTTAGTTTAGCATGATCCGTCACAATTTTTGATGATCTTGATCCTTTTTTTAGGTTATTGCCGAAAATCTTTCTGAAGAAGAGATCAAAGGCCTTAAACAGATGTTTACCAACATGGACACTGACAAGAGTGGTACAATTACATATGAAGAGTTGAAATCTGGTTTGGCTCGGCTCGGTTCTAGGCTTTCCGAGACTGAAGTAAAACAACTCATGGATGCTGTAAGACAAAAATGCTCCATTTCTTTTCGTATTCTCCTTTTATCTCTTCGAACAATCAAATAACTGCAAGATCTCTTTCAGGCTGATGTGGATGGAAACGGGTCTATAGATTACATTGAGTTCATTACAGCTACAATGCATAGGCACAAGTTGGAAAGAGATGAGCACTTATTCAAAGCCTTCCAATACTTTGACAAGGATAACAGCGGGTGAGTTGTCATATTGCATTGACGCTAAAGCTTTATGATAGTGCAATCGACATAATTTTGTGACTAGTTGGTCGAACTTTCTCATGTAATTTTCCTTTTACAGATTTATTACCAGGGATGAGTTGGAATTGGCCATGAAGGAGCATGGACTGGGTGATGATGCCACAATCAAGGACATCATATCTGAAGTTGATTCAGATAATGTAAGCGAATTTTGTAGTATTTTGCATATATGTGTGTGTGTGTGTTAAGAATGAACGATGTTGAACTGCTGATTTTTATCTTATTGCAGGATGGAAGGATAAACTATGATGAATTTTGCGCAATGATGAGAGGTGGAGCGCAACCAATGAAGCTCATATAGTTACTAGTAGTATAGTGTATTATTAGATATTTACTTTGTTCATTCGCCTGAGATATTTCACATAAACTAGGAACCAACACAAATTAGAGGCTTCAGTCCTCAATACTTTTCCGAGTGATGTTAATGTGTATACTTTTTTTGAATCAATCTTTTCCCGAACGTGTACGATGGTATCATTGCAAGTTTATATCAAGAGTTCACAATTGGCTTTACTTTAATTCTTTTTGTATTTTGCAACTCTTAGCTGAGAGGCTTTTGCAAGGGAGGTGCAGACCTTCTGCGCTCTAGATGTAATGAAAGAAGCTCAAATATTTTCCTATAAGCAAATTCAAGCTTCTGGCAGTAAGACCTTTATATTATACTTAAATAACCTCTCTTTAAAGTTCTCTACAACTACACAACCTAAGAAACTAGAGTTCTCCACAGCTTTGATGCCAAGCAGACATCTGAAAACATGAAAGCTTATGCACCGTATAACACACTTCATGTTCAGGTAAATATTAGCTTAAAAATCTTTAAAAGTAATACATGATCGCTGATAAATTCTGTCAATGATACATTGTTGTATAATCTCACTCTTCACTTTGTTTCTCTGATTCTCTCGGATAAGAAACAATACTTGCATATAGTAATTGTTTGATTTAGACTTTTTGACATCTAACATCAGCTACAATATGGCGAACGTGTGGACCGTACCACTTCACACGCTCCAAGTGTTGTACTGAAACATCCCAACATAAACCTGAACCAGAACTGTTACTATCAGTACAATATCATAAGAAAACTCTTTGATAAACGTAGCATATATGCACAGAAAATTATACCTTCAGATTGAGCGATATCGCTTATGGATCTGATGACATATTCCAACCATGAATTCTCCTCTGAATCCTTGACATTTTCATGGATATGAAGCACACCACCCTCAGCCCTGTATCAAAAGTTCGTTTTAAATAATAGTTGGCAACAAACAAATGGACCATTTTTTTGTGTTTTTGTGTGTTCGTTTTTTTTTTGTGGGGGCAGGGGGTGTACTTAAATAAAATATCGGGTGATGGAAGATGAAAAACATGTAATTAAGTCCCTTTTCGTGCCAGGGATGCTTCATGGTCACTAAATAATTAAAACTAAAGAAATCTTGGCTAGCTGAAGCTTTTGCTAGCTGCAAGCTTAATTCTCGCATTCATAGGAGCCTTTTGCCCTTCTTTTGTGAATGACATACAGGACAGGAGGAGTATGTCATCTCCTCTCATCATTCATTAGAGAAGGATAGACATTTAATTCATTATCTCTACAAATTTCTTAAAATCGCCAAAGTCAGTCTAGCCTCTCTAGCTGCTCGTCTATCATCCAAAAAAGATACATTCAAAAGCTTCCCTCCAAGCATGTAGTTGCTGATTATCACCGGCTTTAGGCAGTCAATGTCAAGATGGGATTCTTATAAATTGTAATGTTTAATTTGTGAGCCAGATGGACACACAATATGGTGTGATGTAAAGATATTAACATGGAAGACCAACTGATGTTGGAGGTATCATGTGTAAGTTAAATGTAGTATGGATGAAGCTATGTGAAATTTTGAAAGAGGTAGTTACTTACAGTTTAGTGATGTAAATAAGAAACTAAATATGAAAAACCAAGCTTCTCCCAAAACTTCCAGAAGCAATGATATTGGAAAGGAAGATACACAAACACTTTGAAGTAACTTTAAAATACAAAATGAAAGGACATGAACAGAAAAATAGCAGTTAAATGTTTACTAAGCCAAAGAGAGGGATGCAGGGAAATGCAGTAGAATCACTTCTGTATTACAGATACATGTAATAAATATTATCAGACAACTATGACAGCGCAAAATCATACCTTAAAGCTTTTACAGCAGTACCCCAGCTAATCTCACTTGATGGTAGCAGACCAAGGCAAACACGATCAGCAACTGCCTAAAAATCAGTACGAGGAAAAATGAGACCCAATATATAGCTAAACTGATCATTGCTTTAAATAATTTGAATCAATAACCAATAGTAGACCGTGATGCAACAAAAGGTGGAAGCTGATGCAATTTGATGCCATGTTAATGGCACAGCATTTTAATGGAAATTGTTTTTCAAAACCTGGTTAAAATCCCCTGAACATTGAAAAGCTCATGTGAGTGGTGCACCTCTGGTTGTTCTCCATTTTATAATTAGAATTGATAGTCCTTGGGTCATCCAAGGAGCGCAACACAATGTTTTCATAAAAGGCGACCTAGACAAAAAAAGGCATGCTTCTACCAAGTTTTCAACAAGATTTACTGCTTTTGTACAGAGAGTCTCAGGATACAGCTTATGTATTTGGATTTTTAAATTAATACAGCACCCGCTCCAACTCATAAGATAATTTTTTGGTACATAACTACGAGCCCAAATATAAAAAGTGTAATATGTTAATGTAATTAGGCACTGCAAAGTAAACTAAAGAAGATATGCTGAACCAAATTGAATTTCTAAGCAAAAGGATTAAGATATACGGTTCATCTATTGATGAGACTTCAGTTAAGTTTTTTGCATGTGGTCATGAATGATTTCACGCCTTTGCTTCTGGATCAGCATGTACGTTGAGATTACTGTCTAATCTAGAAGTTTTCAAGGATATAAATAAATGGCATGTTTCCAGGGGCGGAGAGACATGCACCATTATAATTTATAAGTAATTATACACAAAGTATCTAGGAATATTTAGGAGAGGTAGCGCCCTGAAGGTCAAGCAAACACCTAGGTATCCATCTAGGCAAGTTGCATGCAGGTGATGGCACATGCACGCGTCAACACCAAGGTAAAATCTGAAAGGACCTCAACATAATTTAAAAAAATGCAGCATACATGCATTAAAAAAAGTCTTAAGAGTTTAGAAGAAGCATCGTAAGTGGTTACTTAAGGGAACATACTTTAGGTGCTGTAACACGATTATCTCCTTCAAGTATGATACAACGATCTGCCACGAAGTTGGCATCAATATTATGTCGAAGTGCCTTTATTGCGTGGGGATTCCATTCACATGCATAAACGAACTTTGCCTTGGCCCTCCATATGAAATATATTGTCATCATGACCAACATATTAGCAACCACTTGCCTCAAATAAGTACAAATTGAAGTACAAGACCGACAAGTCACAAGACGCTAAAAAATGTCTTACTTTACAAGAAACGGGAGCACAAAATATCCAATTCCAGCAAACAAATCCACAACGATCTCATCCCTACAGTCCAGATGAGCCATTCGGAGCTTTTCCGAGAGGTTTCCCGAGGAAAACATGCACTTGGTTGCATCAAAAGAGTAAATAATTCCATTTTCTTGGTGTTTAACCCAACCATCATCTCCCACAAGAATTTCTAGAGAGCTATCTCTTGTTCCATTAGGCAATATTCGGCCCTAATACAAGGCAGACAAACATATCAACTTAGATGCATATAATAATTAAACAAAAACACCAACATAATACAATTTCTCACTTAGAAGGGATGGATCATGGGGGAAGAACACCATTCATTCAAATATAGGACACTTCTTTCAACAAGAACAATTAGTCTTAAGTAGTAATAAGTGACCAAACTGATATCTAGCAAAATGGTGGTGAATAATGTAGTTTAGCTACACATACTTGGCGTGCAAGGCGCTGAGCACCAAGGGATTTAGCTACTATTGGCCAAAGCTCATCACCAATAGAATTCCAAATTGCATCCTTCAAAGAATTTACCGGAAGAACCACGATGTCACCAAGTCGCTCCCACCTAAATAATATAAGTAATATCAAGAATGAAATTTGTAGGTAACTTAACTAGTGGCATGACTATTACTCACTGACATGTTACCTTTTATCAAAATACCAGTAAAATGGAAAATAAACACAATGCAAACATTGACTTGCTAACAATTGAGAATCATAGAGGCATAGAGCTATATGTTGTAGGAAACACAATGCAAACTCCTAACGATGCATAAAGATTTATGTGGAGTCAATAGAACAAACCTCGTAGGTAGCTGCTCCAACAGCTTTACCGGCATTCCCTTTTTCCTCAGCAAGGTGCTAATTGATTCTTTCATTGTCTTTTGAGGAGCTTTGGGGACTTTCCTACTGCATGACACATCATTAATTTGTAGTGTACCACCACAAGTCACTAAAAATCTTGATGCCATAGGGAGAGAAATCTCATCTAATGAACTGCCTCCCTTCTTTGTAAAAACTCCTTGTTGACAGAAGTCGTCCGGTGCATCTACGGAATTAAGTTCTTTCTTATAAAAGGAGGAAAAGCTTCTAGTAACTGGTAAGTTTATATGACGGTCATCCCCACTTGGCTGGACCTTCCTACTAAGATCCAACCATCCAAATTTTTTTAATACATCCTTTGCAAGCTTAGCATATTTCTTCTCGACTTGAAGGGTGAAGTATTTTGCATCAATGCAATGTCCATCTCCAGTAGTATGCACGTACTGTAAATGTGTTTTGCAACCAGATATGTCGTCAAAAGCATTGTGAAACTTGGCTGGTGGCTCATTCACCTTTTCATAAGTAATGCTATAGAGTGAATCTACTGGTTGCAAATTTATCTTCATTAATTGATTAAACTTTGTACCAAATGCATAACAGGATGTTCCACCACCAATAATTACTATATTGTCATCAATGACACAAGTTGAACTGCGAACCCAGATGTTTCTATCTACAGAGTCAACTTTTACATGCATCCAGATTTTATGTTCCAGGTTTAGCAAAGACAACTCTTCATTATGTTGCCTGATAGGACATCCACCAAGTATGCCAAGATACCGTTTATAGATGAACATGCAATGAGAGAATCTTGGTAAAGGATCTCTCCCTGATGTCTTCTCCTTCTTCCATAAACTCATTCTTGTATCAAAACTGTATAAATCACCTAGTGCTTTTTCACTGTCGTACCCCCCAAACATGTACAAAAGTGTGCCATCTGCTATCAAGGAATGTGAATGGCGAGCAGAGGGCCACTCCCCTTGGATGCTGATCTCACTCCACTGAGAGGTTTCAGTATTTAGAACATTCATGCTTGAAAGAACCACTTCACCATCAAGGCCACCAAAAACGTATACACTCGAGCCTACAGCTACGGCTGCATGTCGATGCCTGTAAGACATTTAAATGAAAATGAATTAAATAGGCTCACCAGTATACAACACTGCTGAAATTCATGACGCAAACGGAAACTGTGTCCTACAGCTACTCCAGTGGCTGATACTTAAAGAAGATAAAAAACAAACTAAATTCACTATACCTTCTCAAATAGAAAGCGTTAGACTTCAGTTATTACCTCAAGACTCAACAGGTTGATGTTTGGTACGGAAAAATTAATCGATTAGTTTCTGATTTTTTTAACCTCCATGGCTAAAATTAATTAAAAGCAGCAAACACTTAATCCACAGCATAAACTAGTTTACTCGTCCAATGTCCACTAATGAATAATTCTTCTTTCTTTTCCACCAAGACAGATGTTATAGATCGTATTAGATTGCTTTATGACATGAGCATAATACTAAACAACACATTTTAGTAATAAATGTGACAGATCCATCATTCTCCATGCCTTAGCTTGTTTCAATGTGCTTTATCCATTAAAAATTTGCAAACAGAAAGAACTACAGCTTCAGTATTAATATACGACACATTTATTAATAAATTACGATAGATCCATCATTCTTCATGCCTTAGCTTGTTTTCATAGTATTGTATCCATCAAAACGTTGCAACCAGAAAGACGTAAGGCTTCATTATTAGGCAACTTACCTTGGCTGGAACATGCTCCCGGTACATTCTAGCAACACCCATCTATTTTCCGACGTGTGCAGAACCCAGACATCATTAAGAATTTGATTTGGACCACCTCTGCCCCCAATAATAAACATTTGGTCCCCAACCATTGAAGATGTATGACCCATGCGTGGAGATGGGGGTCCCTTGGCATCAATTTCATGCAACTGGCCTGACCGGGGATCAAGCATCAGGGAGTAACTTCTTCTTGCATGCCTTCCTACTCCTCCAAAGCCACCAAATACAATGATCTCTTTCCTTCTGTTCAAAGTACAAGCTGATTGACCCCATAGTAAGAGTTTCTCGGCAGGTTCACCAACTGTTGTCAACAAATCCGCTGAAACAGAGCATTCAGGCGTCCCTGACAACTCTGTTGATAAATTGCAACTTAATCTATGGCAAAAGGAGGGAAGTGCTTCCAATAGGCTGAAAGCAGCATGACAAATAATATTAATTATTCCTGCACTAGACAATGGTAGACAGAATGGACATGCATGTGCTGATTTTAAATTAGGCAATTATTCCTGCACTAGACAATGGTAGACAGAATGGACATGCATGTGCTGATTTTAAATTAGGCAATACGAAGCAATCAACACAAGTTTCACTAGGGTAGAAAAAACAGGTCTCTGGGGACAAGTGACATAGTTGTTTCTTTTCAGAGGTGCTATCATTAGTTCAAACATGAGTTTCTTTCAATTGTTGATGTAATGATAGTTCAAATGTTAAAAAGTCGAAAGAAAGTTCAACATGGAAATCTTCACATTCTTGAAATCACAAACTCCACAAAGGTTCAAATAAGAATCAATCAGCTAATGTATAAACCCAAGCTAGGTGTCTATAAATCAGATGTTGTTTAATGGTGCATCACACATTCACAAGTTCGAGTTTTTACGATAAGAAAGTTAAAGGAAGTATATGTTCTTGCATTCATGGAGCCACATAGTTGCAGGCTTGCAGCAAGTAGCAACTACAGTAAGAAATAAAGTTCAAATTATACGGTTAGTTTGTATAGCACATCCTTGCCATGCATGCTCTAAAAATAACCTATCTGCTAGATCTTCAGCTCAGAATCAGCCTGCCTCTACCTAAGCTACAGCCTTTCTACACTTGCAGAAAAATGGCCTAGGTAGGTTCCTTAACAGCTGTCTAATGCTCTAGCGGTCAAGGTGCTTCAGTGAACAACCGCTTTGGAGGATCTAGGCAGGCCAGGTACTAAGCACACCTATAATGACCTAGTTTTTTGACATTGTAATTGTCAACATTCCCCACCTCTTCCATCAGAAACATGGACAAAAATAAACAAGCCATTTATTAATGGAACATCGAAATGCAGGCTCATTTAAGGCCTTAGACTGAACCTCAACCTCTGCAATTAAACACCATTTCTAGGACCCACGCCCATCATTGTTTTGGTGGAAAAAATTAAATCAGTTTCCCTATTAACAATTATGGTACAATATAGGCATCAGAATTTAAACGGTGGCAGACAATGATCTCTGCTCAATAAACTAGATAATTCAGAAAATTGATGTTCTGCTTTTACCTGAATTTAGATTGGCGTTAGTTCCACCTTCATTAGTGTATCCAACTTCTAATCCACACAAGGGGTTGAAATATTTTAATGAGTCCTCGCATGATGAATTGATATTTTTATCTGCATTTGAGAGTCTTCCAGTCCCAGAAACAGATTTATCTTTGATCTGATCCTGAATGCAATACTGTAACGAGTCACTCTCATTTAGTTTTTGGTCTGATAACGAGTCATTTTGCTTTGCTTCGAATTGTGGAAACCTTCCTTCACCAGACACCTGCCGTTGATTCCTTTCGTTAGTATCTATCTGTTCTGATGATGCTGAGAGAACCTGGAGAATTTTTACTAATGTTCCTTATCATCAGGAAGAACTGAAAGCATATACAGTATTTAAGATCATGAAAAACATCTATAGTAGAATAAAAATTCCCTTCAGTCAACTACAGAAGCATGAAGTTTGCATGGAAGTTGAATATTAAAAATGAAAGTGAGATACGCAATTCCTCACAAACTAAACTACTATCTGACCTTGATCCACAATACATAAGAAACTGCATTAGCTCAAATTTTAACACATTGACTACTAATGTGGAAAATTTCTCATGCAATCAAAGTTAGGAGAATCAAGGATACCAGCCTAAAATGTAATATAGAGCTCTCAAAGCAACTTCTTACTGGTAGTAATGAGGAAAAAAATAGGGCGAAAAGATAATAACCATACCTTAATTTGCAAAACATGAAGAAGACTGTCTGTTCTCTTTCTATTTGCTTCCATCTTCTCGTTGGCGATCCCAACAAGATAGCGAACATACTCCTTCGAAACCAAAACTGAACCAACTTGGCCTAGTGGCACTTCCAGGCGTATAGAACAGCGTATGGCAATAATGACGCGTTTTTGTATACTTGTTATACCTATTAAAAAATCAGCATTTGCTTTATAAGTCACAAACATGAATGTTTTCTTCTATTATATATTGTCCATGAGTATGAAAACAATAAAAAAAAAGTTAGTATTTTTGCCATATTAGAGTGTATGGCAATAATGGTGTATCATGTATCAATAGCAGTATCCGAGTACAAGTTGCTATTTGGTGTATGATTCAATAGCCATATTTGGGTTTAAAAAATAATTCAGTATGTGTATGTTGGATCTAATAATGATTTTAGAAATGGGTGAGTCTAAAGATAAATCATGATA